GGGGGCGGGGGAGGAGGATGGGGATGGGGAGGGGCGTAGGGTGCGGCGGAGGCGGCGGAGGGTGATGGACTTGTAGAGGAAGAAGAGGGAGGAGGAGGAGAGCAGGAGGAGGAGCGCGAGGTGGGAGGTGCCGGAGGCGGCCGCGGCCGCCGGGGAGGGGGGCATCGCGGCGGCGGGCTGGGGTTTGGTGGGTGGGGAGGGGGAGGCTGGCTTCCGGCTTTGGTGGGTTTTGCTGTGCCCTTGCGCGCCGCGCGAGGCGGTTGGGGTTTGCTCTTCTTTCTGAAACTGAAACTGAAACTGAAACTGAGACGCCGTGCACGTCAAACTTCAGAAAAGCGTCCCAAAGTCTGACGATCTTTTGCAATTTTTGCATTGTTGTCGCACTTTCAGAAGCACACCGAATGACTCATCAACTCTTCTACTGCATCCTTGTATAAATTCATTTACAACGTTCACAAGCTTTACATCCTTTTACACATTGTTACAATACAATGTTCAGAAACAGCACAGCGCAGCCCTGTTTACACGACCCATCCAGCACTTACTCTGAACCTAAAGCTGGATGCTGTCCAAGACAGAACTGACAAGAGTAACACTGTCGCAATCGCGCGTGTGTGCGCAGTAGATGGTCGTGGAAGCCAACAAATGAACGAATCGGGTGCCTTCAACCCAGATCAACAACCAGGAGCATCAAAACTATGTCTGTACCACATCAAGAAAATGTGCGCCTTGTGATATAACGCGATAGTTCACGGTCGCCACGTTGTTTTCTTTACAGACATGATGCCCTCCTTGTCCTTCCTGAAGGTCATCACGATCTCCCAGTGGAGCGACTTCAGGATCGCCTCCAACGGGTCGAGGATCTCGAGCTTCTCCCGGATGATGGCCCACCCTCCGGGTCTCAGGATCCGGTCCATCTCGACCAAAATCGAGACAGGTTCCTTGCATCTGCATTGTTCAGGTCATGTCAGCATGTCACATCAAACACTGTAAGCACACCGAAAACTATAGACCGTCAAAGTTCAAGCGAGGGTACTTCATTCGACAAACATACCTGTTCTTCAAGCGTGAGAACAAATGGTCGGCATGAAGAAGATCGTACGACCTTGGATATGTGCTAAATGGTTCGCACCAGTCGTGATAAACACCGACCAGCCCGCGCTCGAAGATTACAGGTAGGGTGTCTGGGGCATGCACGGGGACAACATTCATGACCCAAACTTTTTCAGACGACAAAGCTGCAGCAAATCTGCAAGGAAACACGCATATAAGTAAGAGAAATTCAATTTATATACTGGGAAATGTGAAATTGAGAATGGAGAGCGTACCCTCCATATACAGCCTTCATATCCAGCACGTTTCGGATATTTGTCCAGTTAATACCCAAGCCATCCAGATACGATTTCTCAACGACGGCCTTCCAGTGGCTATGATCAGCAGACACCCTTGTTTGCAGGTCCCCGAGCCAATCAGGAAAAGTCTCGAGCCTCTTGGGCCACTCCTCAGGCCACTCACTGCCTCTTTCTTCGATACCAGCAGGAGCTTTGTGCAGGCAATGCTTGATTGGAGTATACCTACAAAGGAAAACAAACGTTTCAGTTTCACAAGCCAAACAAACTCCAGTGTACATGATAATTCAGGAAACACCGTAGTGATTAATCCAAGTGTCCTAGTTACCATGCAGTAGCTTTGTTTTGCTCTTCCTTGCAAAATGGAGGATCTTTTTTTGCTCTCAGGTCATACTCGTCATTTGAGGCTGGTCGCTGAAATATCTTTACTCCAAGCTCGCTGACATCATCACTGTTGTAAGCTATTACGTTCCAACAAACCGCGGTCATTGAAGCTGATATTCCTGTAAAGTTCATCAAGACATTTAAAACATAAACATTGGGCGAAATAGAACATAACAAGGCCAGTAATGGCCCCATGAAAGTCGTGATATTTTACATGCTTGTTCGTTTATAATGACATCGGTATTTCAGCAAATTCCAGCCTTTTCTCCACACACACACAGTAACGTGCCATACCTTCTTCACTCTCGAGGTCACCATGTCTGCTCGATATAACGAAGTATCCTCCTGGGCGAAGGATCCTATTCATCTCTATGAGAAGCTTTCCACCTAATCCATACAATACAAAATGTTGTTCAAGATGTGAGCAACGCAGGATAGTGGCATGCTGGGTCTAAAAGAGAGGAACGAAGCAGCATGTAAATACCATTAGAATGCCATGGTATGTTGCATTCACTACAGTGGATAATATCAAATGAACCACTAGGAAAGGGTAATCTTCTTGATCCCAGACTGCCAATTGTTGCAGGGATGCCGCGTTCAAGGGCAACTTGTGCAAGGTCTGTCTGGTCATTTGTAAGGCCTAATGACAGTGTAATCACATCCTTCTCGAGTAGAGCAACTCCAAACCCAGCACTTTTGCATCCAATGTCCAATGCTATGCGAATATTTTTACCCCAGTCAAGATCAGGTGCCATCTGCGTGACAAACAAAATATCATATAAATTGTGTTAAGCACAATAAGTAATAGTACAAAATATAAAAATATTTGTATTTCAATTATAAAAAATGTAAACAATGTTCCATATTAAGTTTTAGCCAAAGTCAACTAATTTGTTCCATTATGAATTACTGTGTAAGAACTAAATTTTTGAATCCATATACCAGGACACTCAGTGTGGTAAATGATTTCACAGTTGATGAAACCACATAGGAATGACCTTCCAAAAATCAGGAAAGTTATCGACACATTAACCAAGAGACAAAAGATGAAAATCATCTGAGCAGATCACAGCTAAGACATTAATTGTCTTCACGCAAAATGGTTCAATCTTTAAAAAGAACAGAGCTGTGTGCATAGATTTCCCAAATAATTTGTTCCATATTCACATTTATAATCACACACTTCTGCTACATGATCCACAAATTTGTTACTGCACTTATTTAGTGTTCAATCAGTTAGCAATGTGCAGAAATTGATTTAATATCATTTCCCACTAGTAAACTGTAACTGAGTCTTAGTGCTAGAGCTCTTTCTGGTTTCTGCATACAACTAACAGCAAATGTAAAAGATCCACCAATTGTTACCTCATCAATCGTGTCGATATAATGTCTTGCGCCGCCTTTGAACTCCGATTCCTCCGGCGGGAACACCAGGTGCTCGCCGGTCCGATTCAGCCAGCTGTGGTCCTTGGCATAGCTCGACAGTCTAGGATGCCCAACATTCCCATACCAAATCTGCAGAGACAAGTGCATAACGACAGTTCAGAGTTCAGACACACAAGAACAACCTAGTAAAGCAGAAGGAGGAAAACATCATGATTTTTCATCCAATTATGCTCGACCCCCTCACCTTCTCCTTCCTCTCCGGCCATGGAGCAGGCAGCTTGTACTCCTTTGGCAGTGACACCAGGCATGTCACCGGCGACCTCGGGCAGCTCCGCTCGTGGTGCCTCTGGCTCCCATCCCCATCGAAATCCACGCAAGGGGTGTAGTGGTGGCCGCTCTTGGCGCTGCAGAGCTTCCAGTGGTAATGCGCGGCCGGGCTGAAGAGCGGCGGCAGCTTCTTCTTCTTCTTGGAAGCCTTGCCCTTGGCCGCCTCCGGGTCCTCCTCCTCCTCGGCGTCTAGCTCGCTGGATTCGTCGGCCCATTCCAGGGCCGGCGCCTTGTCGTTCTCCTCCTCCTTGGGCGCCTTCCCCGTGGCGTCCGCGTCGTCCTCCGGCACGGACAGTTCCGGCTCCTGCTCGTCCTCCCACTCCCACTCCGGCTCCAGTTTGTTGGCTTGTTCCGGCTCGGTGAGGTTGGACCTGAGCGCGGCGGCGTCGGGCGAGGGGGTGGCATTGGGGCGGCGGGATCTAGGCGGGGAGCGGCGCTTCTTGCGGCCGCGGGGGCTGCTGGCGGGGCGGGGCTTCCTGTGGACGGCGCGGGCGGTGGCGTTGCGGGGGTGCGCCAGCGCTCCAGGGGGCGGGTCGGCGACGTCGGCGGCGAAGTAGGTGCGCTCGGTGGAGATCTGCTGGGAGGAGGAGGTCGGGGCGAGCGTGGTCCAGGTGACGACGAAGGAGAGGCCGAGCGCGATGGCGATGGAGACCTTGGCGGCGAAGCCCAGCGGCGGGCTCCTCCTCCACCAGCTCACGAGCGCCGACGGCCGGCCGGGCGGGCCCCGGAACACCGTCATGCGGCCGCCGGCTGTCGGTGGAGTGGGGTGGGGCTGGGGCGGGCCGGAGTGGTTGGTGGCGGTGGCGTGGACTGTGGGGGGAGGCGGAGGAAGTCCGGGAGGAACAGAGTTGGTTCCTACGGTTCCTTGGCTGTTTTCACCATTTGTTTAAGGTGTTTTGCATCAATTTTCTGGCTTGAAAAAACTTGTTCGTGTGCATGGTTAGTCAGTGGTCAATTAATGGTGAGTGAGCGAGCTTGGCAATGCAATGAGAGAGCTGGACAGGCCACCAGCAGGTTGATGGGCAGTCTTCACTTTGATGGAGGGAGAGAGAGAGGGCATCTTCAACATCCTAAATTAAAATGTGAGAAATCATAGATCATTCTGGGAAATGTGAAATATTTCCTCCGTCCCAAAATAAATGACGTTGATCAAAATAAGTGATACGTACTGTAGATTATAAGACTCATTTGAGACCACAACATTAAAAGCCTCTTTTGACTTACAAAAAACTGAAGGAAAGAAACATGGGAATACATTTTTTTACCATGGTGACGCTTGATCTAACTGATTCAAAGGAATGGATCATAGGAAAATGGAACAATTTTTTATTTATTTTACAATCAGAACAAACCTCCTTTTTACATCCCTATACACGAAGAACAAGGCAAAGGCCATAAGTACCCTAATACCAATTTAATCTTACATGTTGCATAGTGTTTTGCCTTGGTTAAGGTTTCGTGTTTTTTTTCAGGATTCGTGTTTTTTTATATATATTTATGTGAATCAAACATCCAATTTTACAGATTCTCATGTTTTCATAATCCTCTATTCTGCACGTGCAATTCTACCGTATTAGTGTGTTTTCCCTATTTCCGAGTTTCTAAAATCAAGCGATTCAAAGAGGCCATGAGGACGATTAAAATCGTTCCTATCGATTACAGAGGACATCATGTGAGTATGTTCTAGCTTTGTTCTACCTTTGTCTTAAAATATTAAGGTCCATGCTACTTTTTTCATTCTTTTTTTCTGACAAAGGGTGGATTTTATAGGTTCAAAATGTATGTAGCATCAAGGGGATACAACCACAATGAGCACACATCCGGCCTCTATATGGTTAGGATGCACACAACCAGCATCGATGCATACACACAAAAAACACGCCAGCAAATAGCAAAGTCATGTAAGGCCAAAGTTATGCGTAGACGACGGAAATAAGAAGAAGAAACCTCAAAGTGATCAGATTCGCGGTCGACCAACTACTCTTTTCATTCTAAATTAATTAAGTTCCAGCTTTGTCTTAAATCAAACTTCTCTATATTTAAGTTAAAAAATATACTTCCTCCATTTTTGTATACAAGGCCACTATCAAAATTATAATTTGCAACTATACAAGGCCACTAACATCAATCAAGGTAAAATTGATGAGGTTTGCCTCATACTAGCAACCGGGGACATTAATACCCCTTGCATGCATGTGGGAGTGAGAAGCTTGGTTTCATGTACCACATTAATCAACCAACGAGGAGTGAGAGGGTTGTCTTGTGTGTTGAAGAGAAAAATACACATTAATTAACACGTCGAGCGAGGAAAAAAGACAAGCTTGCAATATTGGCTTAAGTAAGCATTAATTTCTACCTTGGTATCTGTAATATGAGTTTGTGGCCTTGTATACAAAAATGGAGGGAGTATATAACATGTTAACATCTACAACATCAGATATAGATATAATATTGCATAATTATATTATTATGAATCTAATGAAATTAATTTGGTATTTATCTTTGATATATATTTCTGTAGGGTTGGTCAAGCTTAAATAATGTCGTCTTAGGATGAAGCTCGAACAAAAAAGCAATTAGTAATTGAAACGGGGGTAGGTAGTAAAGCAATTAGGCAAATAATGTTGCATCTTATATACAAATCCTGAAGGAAATATGCCCTAGAGGCAATAATAAAGTTGTTATTTTATATTTTCTTATTAATGATAAAGGTTTATTATTCATGCTAGAATTGTATTGATCGGAAACCTAAATACATGTGTGGATACATAAACAAATATCGTGTCCCTAATAAGCCTCTACTAGACTAGATGGTTAAGGTTTCCTAACCATAGACACATCATTAGGAGAATGATGTGATGGACAAGACCCATCCGTTAGCTTAGCATATGATCATCAGTTTATTGTTATTGTTTTCTTAATGTCAAATACATATTCCTTCGACTATGAGATCATGCAACTCCCGGATACCAGAGGAATACATTGTGTGCTATCAAACGTCACAACATAACTGGGTGATCATAAATATGCTCAACAAGTATTTTCAAAGGTGTCTGTTGAGTTGGCATGGATCGAGATTAGGATTTGTCACTCTGTGTATCGGAGAGGTATCTCTGGCCCCTCTCGGTAATGCACATCACAAAAAGCTTGCAAGCAAAATAACTAAGGAGTTAGTTTCGAGATGATATATTACGGAACGAGTAAATAGACTTGCCGGTAACGAGATTGAACTAGATATGAAGATACCGACGATCGAATCTCGGACAAGTAACATACGATAGACAAAGGGAATTACGTATCTTGTCATAATGGTTCGGCCGATAAAGATCTTCATAGAATATGTGGGAACCAATATGGGCATCCAGGTTCTGCTATTGGTTATTGACCGGAGAGATGTCTCGGTCATGTCTACATAGTTCTCGAACCTGTAGGGTCCGCATGCTTAACGCTCATTGACGATATAGTGTTATATGAGTTATGTGATTTGGTGACCGATTGTTGTTTGAAGTCCCGGATGAGATCACGGACATGACGAGGAGCTCCAAAATGGTCCGGAGGTAAAGATTGATATATAGGACGATACTATTTGGACATCGCAAGAGTTTCGGAGGTACCGGGTAGTCATCAGATCACCGGAAGGGGTTCCGGGAAGCCCCGGGAGGCTATATGGGCTTAATGGGTCAAAGGGGGAACAAGGGGCTGGTGCGCTCCTCTCCCTGGCCGCCGTCCCTAGGGGAAGGAAAGGGGGAGGGTTGGCCCCTCCCGCCTTTCCCTCCTCATGATAGAAAGGAAGGGGGGCACCACCTCCCCCCGCATTCCACCCGCGCGCAAACAAGGAAAGGGGGCGACCAAGGGCAGGAGCCCAAGGGGGATTCG